AACACACACACCCACAAAGAGCGTGTAACTAATATGACCCTATTGTGTTACAAGTACCGTAACATGTTTACTAAAACAAACAATCATGGCAAACTGCCTTTTCTAAAGAATACAACGTCCTGTTGATAGAGTTGAGAATTGAACTTTCAACTGACGGAAAAACAATGCAGTTCGATCTCCTTAACGCTTGTCTTGGAATTAAGAATCTGACGTTCATAGTCTTTCTTTTTACCTTCTTTTTATTTCCCTCACTCACTTTTCTTTTCTTCTATTAAATGCCCTTCGTGGGTGGTTGGCAGGTGCTCTGGTGTGGGCTTGCTCCATTTTTCTCGATCTGTCCTTCATTCTTTTAAAATTTGTTGCTCTCTTGTAAAACCTCTAATCTTCGGCATTTTCAGGACCTTAGTGATTCGAGTTGCTTGTGCCGTAAAACTCGTACTAATTACTAAAATAAGCCAGCGGCTTGTTTATCTTCCCCTAAAAGGCATACTCATAGAAGAAAGAACCCCTGTTTGTATGACTCTGCGACTTCCTTCAGAAATTGAGAGCTCATGTGCCTTCGATCTGTCAGCGGTCCTCCTCGCTACCGCAGAATTACAAAGTTCTATCTGACATTTTAAACCATTTTGAGTTACTATGACCATGAGTTCTGAAACTAAATGTTCTATCTACTTTATCACAATCGTAAGATAATTCGGATTCGATATCAAGATATTCAAAGAATTGCATTGGGAAAAGCTTCACATTTTGTGAAACTAAAAACTTTTGATGACGTCAAATTCCTCAAAAGTAGTTACGGTGCAGTTAGAACTTTCTAACTCTACGACAGCGCACTTCTACCTGACGGGAAGAGAGATTAGTTGTGAGGAAAGGTCTCACGCTTGCGGTTGGTTCTGGGTTGTAAATAAACTCTCTCTGCTCTCTATGGGCCGAGTTCATCTGGGTGACTGGTCTCTCTCTCTCTCTCTCTCTCTCTCTCTCTCTCTCTCTCTCTCTCTCTCTCTCTCTCTCTCTCTCTTTCTCGTTAATAGGGAAAGGAGAAAAAGAAGATCCCCCCCCCGCCTTTTCCCTTGAGAAGAAGCAGTTCCCCCAACAGTAACATAACTAGACATGAGCATTGACGGATCTTGACAATCGCTACCTAATAATTACACTAAACTATCTGACATTTTTGGGCGTTCTGAGTTAGGAAGACCACGCTGCCAGAAAGCAAATGCTCTGTCTGCCCTGTCCATATTGTAAGAATATTGGGAGTCGTTATCAAGATATACTTACCGGCAAAAGTAATGCGAATTCACATAACACAAGAACAAGAGAGTAAATTGAAGCAATATTTTATTTAGAGAAACAACTTTGAGGGATCTCAAAATGCACAAAACAATGTTTGAGAGTTGGGGATTTGCTTGGGAACAGATTTTGTTATTCGGCATCAATGACCTTGACCTTGGGGATAAAGTTCCTGTCAGTATCTGGTATGGACCCCATTAGCGTTGATGACAACAGTGGATTGGCAATGCATAGAGTGGACCAAGCGATTGATTTGGCAGTTGGGGACCTGCACCCACTCCTGAAGAATAGCAGCACCCAGTTGTGCACCTGTCCGGGCTCTGGGATGGAGTTGGTTGAGACGCCCCTGAAGCGTGTCCCAAAGGTGTTCTTTTGGGTTCACATCCGGTAATCGGGGTGAGTGAGGCATGGTGGGTATGTTGTTCTGCACCAGGAACTGCTGGGTAGCAGGTGCTTTATGAGGCGGGGCGTTATCCTGCTGAAAGAGGTGGTTTTGATGTCTCTGGAAAAATGGAGCAACATGGGGCTGCAGGGCTTGGTTGATGTAGCGCTGGGCCGCCACTCCGTTGCCACGTCCAGGTCCTAAATTTTGGAAGATCATGGGGCCCAGTCTTTGATTGATTCCGATTGCGCCCCATATCATCACGCTTTGACCTCCCCGCAGGTCTCTCTCCCAGATGTTATCGTCAGAGCGTTGTCCGGGGCGGCGCCAAATTCGGACCCGTCTATTTTCGGGATCGACGCAGAAGCGATTCTCGTCCCTTAAGATCATACGCTGCCACTGTCGGTTCTGAG